TTTTTTTGCGGAGTAATATTCCATTGTGTATATGTACCGCATCCTTTTGAGATTAGGAAATATATATTTTTTTTCATTAGTCATTTGAGTAACTGAAGTCACTTGACAAAATGAATTCTGCTCCTTAGGATCATACTTTTTAAAATTTAAAACTGCACGTGTCTGTGTGAAAGAGAGGCACGCGCACCCGGAGACACAGCTGAGTTTCTCAAGAGCACTTCGTGTTCTGCAACCACACTGAACTCCTGGCAGTTTCTCTCTCAATTCATGCACAAGGTTGGGCAAGTGCTGCCGCTGGGAAGGGAGGTGCAGCTTCCCAGTGTCCCCTCGCATCAGGCGTAGGGACCCAGCTCCTATCATGAGATTCCTCTAGAGCACCCTGGTGGCCTCGTCATCAGTGGCCCCGTCCACTTGTGAGAACCAGGCAGGTGGCCGTGGGTAGAGCCACAGCAGATATCATTCCCAGTCCTGACTGTTCTGGAAGCAGGACTGTGCGTCTGGTGGGTGCTTACGCTGCTGCTGCCACAAAAAATAAAACACCACTGTTTCCATTGCTCCAAAATGTGTCATTGTTGGAAGAGCACGAAGGTGGCGGAACGTGCCTATAGGAGTCGCCCGCCATTCGTCTTTTCCACTGACCTTTTCTCTGGGAGCAGTGGTAAGTCTTGCAATGGAAAACGTTGCCACTCTTTGTCAGGCTGGTCGTGTGGGTGGAAGATTATTTTCAATTGCAAGTCCTTATTTAGGATATGTGCGTGAATGTCCGGGGATGCCTCCAAGAACCTAGGCTGTCGGTGATTGCAAGTGGGGACGTTGTCATCTCGAGCTTAGCAGACTTGCCTAAACACCCCGTGAAACAAAGCAGGGTGGACGCGAAAAAGAAAACTGAGCGGTGGGATTCCACTGGGAGTTGCGTTCAGGCGGTTGATTGGTTGAAGGCGGTTAGCGTATTAAGGGGGACGTGCTCTTTCCGAGTGTGTGTATATGGTTCCATCTGGTTGTGCATAATGCTTGGAAGGGCTTTTGTTAATGGTGTACAACTCCTGGGGTTTTAGGTCACACATACCACTGAATTGACCTCTATTTTGCTCTGAAATCTGTTGGGATAATAATCTGATTACCTTTTAAATTCGCTTCCCTGACCTGATATTTTTGCATTCTGAGCACCTTTTGTGCTGTTTTAGTCATTTTAACCCTGACAAGAGCAGAGCGAAGAGCTCTTGCTGAATCATGAATTTCAATTCCCACATGCTCATTAGACCAGAATCTATCTCCTGGGACATGCATTCAGAGACCAGCCGGGAGAAATTGGGCTCCTAGTCTTGAGAGTATGAAATAAGTGACCCTAAATCTATGGCATGCAGTGCTGGGTACTGGGGTGATGGGCCCCTGCCTGGGGTGTAGAGGTGGAGGAAGGGTCTGCTCGGGAGCAACCCAGCAGGGAGAGAACAGCTGGTCCCCGACAGGGACCCCTTTAATTACCATAGGACTGATGGCCTTTCGGGTGTTACGTCTTTGATGTTGTATCTTTGAACTGACCTATATTACTCTTCAAGAGTTTCCGCCTTCCTCATTCGATTTGGTTGAGCCGATTTCTTTCCTTAGGTCCAATGTGTCTTGAACAGAATACATCAGCGAAATACCAAAGAGGACAGAAAAATTGCCCCATGTTGCCTCTTGACTCTTTATATCTTATATCCCTAGCTCATAGCCATGATGCATTATAAATGATTTCTTGTTAAATATGTATTAAGTAATAATGTTGAGTGCAGATGACATTGCCTGGTGATTTCCCATTACTGTATTGCTATATAATATCAGTCTTCATCAAGCTTAATTATTTTGTATTCTGGATCTCTTATGTATGAATCTTCATTTGTATAATACAAGCAATTTACTGATACTTCACTAGAGAACAACCAAAACTAGCTTCCATGGTTCTTTTTTGTCCTAACCTAATTGTTCAGCTTCAGAAATGCACCACTGAAAATCCAAGTCTTCATTAAGACTAACCTAGTTGGCACATCAAAGGGCTATTTAAAAATTTAAAAACATATATATAATTTTTTAAAGGAGAAGTCTAATAATTTTCAGGTTGTCTCATACTTGTTAAGGGTACTAAGGAGATGTCACAAAACCAACTAATTTTCAAATAATCTTATGGGAATGGTAGAAATGACTAATGCATATAGTTTGGTTTTACTCTTCCCTTTGGGGGATAGGGAAATCGGTGTATTTGATTCCTAATACCTCATTCCTGGTAGTGGCATCAGCAGTTGATATTAATGGAAAAAAATTATTAGTGTACTTGGATCACAATCAATTTGTAGAGCAGTCTAGTCAAACTGCAAATGACAGCACTGACAATTTGGAGAAAGGATATCCTGGAATTTCTCCTTCCAAGGCTATCAGTGTCTCCTCTAAGCTTGTAGGATGTAGGTAGCTGCCAATGGAAGCATCTTCATCTCGTAAGCAATTTGTAGATTCTTCTGAATAGCCAACACATGTTTTAATTTCTCGAATTCAGCTGTGTGAATGTTGTCCATCTTCTAGAATGGAATTGCTATGGGTTCCACTATGGCTGCAGATCCCCCATGTGATTGTGGCCTCCTCTCTTGGCTTTCCTCATTCTATTTTTAGAAAAATCTTCTCCCAAAGTGGTACGTTTCCCTACCTACTAGGACAGTTGAATTCCAGACCGCATCCCTGATTCCTCGGAACCGTTTTGAACTAAGGCAGGAATGTTATTCACTCAGATGATGTCCTTAACTTAGGGTCATAGTCAAGTTCCTCTGCTAGTTAGTTGCCCACTCCCACACTTGAGAGGGTTCTTATCCCTTGACTCTTGCCTCCCCAAGCCCATCTCTCCAGCCCAGGCATGCCAATGAGATCTTGCAACCTGGCAACCTGGTGAGTCATCTGGTCCCTCCCAGGATGGAAAGTCAGTGTTGCTCTTTTGAGTCCTCTGGTCTGTGGACCTGCCTGAGCTCAGGTCTTTGTTTAACCTCCACCAACACCTGAAACTGTCGCTTTGCCTTTTTCATGCCTCAATCTAACCTCCATGTGGTATGATATTGACCTGCATAGGACTTAATAGAACCATGTCTGTGAAGAACCCATGGCCACTTCTGCATGTCCAGAATACAGCACTGTCTCACTTCAGTGCCTTTGATCCCTCTACTTTAAATGTATTCCTTCTGGATGCTAAGCCTGTGGACTTTTAAGTCCACACATACCTCTGAATTGACCTCTATTTTGCTTTGAAATCTGTTGGAATAATAATGTGATTACTTTTAAATTTACTTCCCTGATATTTTTTGCATTCTGAGCACCTTTTGTGCTGTTTTAGTCACTTTAACCCTGACAGGAGCAGAGCAAAGAGCTCATGCTGAATCATGAATTTCAATTCCCAAAGCTCATTAGACCAGAATCTAACTCCTGGGACATGCATTCAGTTACCACCTGATCATCTCCTCCTTTGGGTCCAGTTACTCAACTGAGAGCTCACATTCTTCTAACTGCCTCTTTGATCCAAGTTGGGCAAGTTGTCCCATCTCTGGGGATCATTAGAATTTAAAGTGTTGGTGATCTGACTCTGCTTGCCCTTCTATTAGTTACCTGCTACATAATGATTCAATCTTCAGTCAAAGGATATATGGGGACTTTTTTCCAATGCCACTGAAAATTTAAGGACACCAAAGTAGTTATCTACCATACCCCTTGGTTCCCAAGGACAAAGAAATAATTAGAAATGAGAGAGTGAGAAATCAAATTCAGAACAGAGTTGGTTGTCTTTTCTTGATGAGATCTGACTCTTGGAAGATATGGTGGTGGTGGTGGTGGTGATAATGATAAGGATGATGATGGTGACGGTCTATACTGCAGAGACAAAGAAATTCAGGTACCTGGTAAGTTCTCCTTGCTGGCTTTACAGATGGGGATGACTGGTTGGTTATCAAAGAACATGACTTGAAGATGCTGAGAACAATCTTTGACTGACAGCCAGCAAGAGAAAGACCTTAGTCCTAGAACCAAAAGGAATGGAAGTTAACCATCAGATAGAGTAAACATGGAAGCAAATTTTACTCCCCAGTAGAAAGTAGCAGACACATTGATTCTAAGACCCTAACCAAAGGAATCCAACCATGCCACACATGA